CGAGTAGCTCGTTTTGCCGATGCCGTGTTGCGCTACTGTGGGCTATTGCTACTTTATTAAGAGGATTATATGTTTTGCTCGTGCCGAGGATGATAGTCTTATTATGCGGTCTCGGACGTTTACGCATCCCTCGAGGTCATTAAACTTAGCCTTATAGCTCGTTCTGTAACATCATTTGAAGTTTTTATACTTGCTTTGATGCTGCTAACGCAAGGCTATCGCCTTATCCAAGTCAATAATGTGTGTTTTTCTAATTTCTACTTTACAATAGAGTGAAATAAAATCAATTATGCAAACATAGCCCCGGAAAATTTAATAAGTGGCCTCGATATAACTTGTTTCTCGCTATAACTCAAAAGAAATAAGTTGTCAATCGTAATGGTCGTAGGCTCAATGATTAAAGTTTGCGTCGCTTCACATATATATATGAAGAAATAAAACATAAGATATATTGTAACAATTCCTAAAAATAACTCGTGTGAAAGCACAGCTTCTTGCATTCCTCATAAATGTCAGAATGAATAAAATATCAAAATAATTAATCGGGTGAATTTTAAAGATATAACTTTCGATAAAAATCAAATACGTCGCAAGAGATGTGGAAAATGGTTCAGATAACAGTTTAGATAACGGTCACAAAATGATCAAAATTAGATAGAATAAAAAGTTGTCATTAATTAATTCTAATGCTCGAGTGTATGTATTTCAGTTGGCTCAAATTACACGAGTACAAAAACCACATGGCTCTACAAACTTCTTGAAATCTACTTTATTAGCATAGCTAGTGATATGTGTTGCACCTGATAAAGCAAATGCTTCTAAAAAAACTTGGGAAGTTTTTAGTTTTCTCTTGAAAAACTAAGCGTGAACGTAAGTAACTTTGAGTATTTATGAAATTTGTTACAATTGAAATATGAATCACGTAATTAATTGAATTCACTGAACACGATGAAAGTACACGCGAGAATTCATCCATGATATTGTCACTAACAAGAAAAAAAATGCGCATATTACAAATTATATTTTATGATAGTTTCATGAGCTCATGTTCCCAGAGACACGATCCAACGAGCTATTCGCGCTCAAATTAGGATGGCATTTTGGGATCCCTCTAAGTTTACAGGCACTCGCTATCAAAGCCACTTGCAACGTGGACTAGCTCGCTCATCCGTACATAAATCATTGTTTTTTTGTATTTGCACGTAAGCGAAGCAGCAACAGCAGGATCGGGGGTAGAAGATGAACGAAAATAGCTGCCGCGTGGTACCGAGTTGTCACAGCAGTCAGGGACACTCGAGCCGTGCGATCGATAAAAAGAATCTGCATTTGCGCTCGCGCGCGGCAGATACGGGCTCGGCGTCGATCGGTGTCGGCTGCGCGACGCTGAGTGCCATATCACTAACCCAGTTTGTGAACGCCACGCAAATATACGGGAAAAGTATAGTACTAAAGACGATGATCGCTTGGCCGCAGAGCCTCGTAAATCAGCGCGAGTGGTGTATTTTCGTACCACACGGAAGAGCGCGCGCGAGCAAGAGCGAATATTTATAAGCGCGACTCGACTCTTATGAGCGTTGTGCTGAGCAAGTCGCCGGTCGCGCGGCGAACCTGACAGCCTCCGCGCGCGCCGCAACTCTCGAGACTATTCGAGCTATTTGCCTGATATTATGTCGTCACGACGACACTATTACGCTTCGCACTCGTCGCGACGCTCGCTTTAGCGTTTCGATCAGCTCATTAAGAGCGCGTGCCTAGCGAAACGACGCTTGGTATGCGCTGGTCAAAAAGATCAAAACTGAAGGCTGGAGCATTGCAACCCCTGCTTCTCTCTTTTTGTTCTCGAGTTGCGCCAACGTCGAGTTACTCGATTGCGCCAAGTACTTTTTGAACTTCGGGCAAGTGCACTTTTTTGTACCTTATGTGACAGATCCAGCGACAGAACATGATCTTTCGAGCAACCATGAGCATTTAAATGCTCAAAGCAAAAATAAATTTAACTTGAGTTCGATACTTCTTTATTGATTGAATTATTGAAATTTAATTTTTTCCCCAAATTTTTGAAGTAAATGTACGTTCGTTTGACTACATGCCGACTATATTTACGAATGTAAATTTATATTTTTGCCTTTTTAATTTTATTCTTAAAAAATTGGGCTTCAAAAAAAAGTATCGATGAAAGATTAATTAAAATTGTTTCGAATCGATTAATTTTAAAAAATTCGAAAAATTTTCGAGACTGCACACGCAATCAATCGTGATCGAGACTACCGTCGAATAATGCTTCGTTGACAGCTTTAACGACTTCGATAAAATAAAGGTATATACTTAAATAAAAAACGAACGAGTTGCCGAAAATTAATCGCGATCTTTTATCGAATTTAATGATTTCAGATGCTATCGCTACGAAGCTTACCGTCAAAAATTGACTTCGATAATTAACTGCGACACGCTGGTTAACGAAGACAATTCTTATATTCGTATGTAGTTAATGGAATTGTTCGAAGGCACGTGCGTGAGGCGGAATCGCGGCGTGCACTTGAATTTGTAATGTGGCTGTTCAAAACACTTGAAATGTATATATTATGTTACGAAGTAAAAGCACATCATGCGCGTTCACGAAACAGCAAGATATGTGGGAGGTCCTTAGACGTGGTCAATCTGACATTATGAGCTGCAGATTCAGCTTGGCAAATTATAGTATATTCCTGTAAATATATGGTGTGAAAGATGCCACATTGATGTTCCAACATCAGATTCCTGGTATATGCTATATTCTGATCGTTCATTGATTCTGTGATACATTTGTCTGAACATACGAATAAATCTTTCTAATTTTTTTCACTTTTTCGAAATCTTTATAAAGCCTTAAAATATAGTTTCTCGTTTAATTTGATTTCCTTTTATAATCTAATTAGCTAGTCTATTGATTGCCATTTTGTCATTTCTTACAATGTTGTATATTTTTGTTGCATCCGTAGCTTTATTTTAAAAAAATTTCAAACAGATTTTTTCAATTTCTTTTACAAAGTTAACAGTTAATAGTACTTTTTTAGTCAAATTTATTTCAGCGTAATATAGTTTAGGGTATACTATGAGAGACACAATGAACTAATTTTTCGATCATGCAGAGTAATATCAAACAATAACACGATTGACGGATGATTTATAATGGACGCGATTTCGTATTCGAATTAAAAAATTTTTTTATCAATTAATTTATTTATAATAATAATTTATTGTTATGAAATTTGTTACAAACGACAGATTCATATTACATCTTCGACCTTAGTAAAAGTGAAATTATTAGGTAAACGATAATGATGCAAAACATTAATTTTCGATGTTAAATGTGTTTATGTTTAAAATGTAATGTAATGTAGTAAAATGAATGAATTTTTAACACTCCGTGCGTAAAACAAGGGTTTTCTATCCTTTCAGTGATACAAAAACCACGAAATGTTAAAAAATATCCTGTACAACTAGTGCGTGAGAAGGGTGACTCACTCAGGAGTTATTTTCACTCGAGCGCAGCGAGTCATCTTCAAGCACTTGTTACATAATGTACTATTACGCAATAGTATAGTGCAAAAAGGGTTTTTGGACACTGGTGTATAGTAAAATTTCTCGTATTTGTGGGAAATTTCATATTCGCTATTTAAGCATTTTTCGTTTTCTATTGCATAAAATTTTATACGAAACTTGTGCCCGCTTTGTGAGCACTTTTTGCGCACAGTGTGCACAAAAAAATCCACTCGCGCCAGCGTAGCTGGTACTCGGTCTCTTCTCGTGCCGGCGTAGCAGTGTGGGACGAAAAGGTAAAAAGTGATCCAAATTCGAGTGTGTGTAGGAGCGAATTTGTCATTAAAAAAAATTCAAAAATTGTTTCAGATTTGGGAGGCTATGAAAAATCTAAAACCGTTTCCTTTTTTAATTAGCTACTTGTTTAAACATTATACAACTAATTAAGGTCTCATATGATTCTTATAAAAATTAAAAACCCTCAAATATCTGTTTATTGAATTATTATAGTTATTTTCGAATGATGAAAGGTATCTCAGCTTATGAATTGTATTTTAAATCTCCAAAACAGTACAAAAATGTTGTAACAATATTTGCTAATTATTTTATTTGTTTCATTTCGAAACAAATGAAAAATTAGTGTGCAATTAGTTTGGAATTAAGCATTTTTTTTCGGATCGATGTACAATATTCATTTAATTTTAACACCTTACAGGTATTGTTTAATCAAATGTTATACCTTACACGTTTTAAACGATGCTTTTAATAAGCTGAATATGAACAAAAATACATTCTATGAGCTAAGATATCTTTCATTATTCGAAAATAACAATGATAAATAAATAGCTCATTAAAAAGCAAATGTTCCCCCACAACTGAAAATAGTAGATTACGCAACGGGGGCGTACGCTAATTTTCATTACAACGTGCGGAATAGTCGATTTTAAGATCGCCAGCCGTGCGCGAAAGTAGCACTTTCCACTTGCAGTGATGAACAGATTGACAACCTCCCACCCCCGTTGCGTAATCTACTATTATGCAACGGGTGTGGATATGCTTTTCTGTAAAATGAGGGGTTGCAGCACGAGCCAAAGGTGAGTGCTGAAAAAGCTTATCCACACAAGTCACATACAATATTTTTTGTGCTACCCCAACCTAAAGTAACATTTTACTCCCGCCGAGCAAAACCAAAATGTTATTTTAGGCTGGGGGATTCACAAAAAATTGTATTTGCACCTAGAGAGTGAAAAATATATTATTATAGCACAAGAGCCTAAAATTAGCGTCAAATTTGCGTTTTTTAAGTTAGAGTGGTATAAAGTACTATCAGACCGTGTACAAAAAGCAAAGAACGCTTTTTTAAGTAGTATAAATTTGTTCGATGGCAAATTTTAATAACTTTATCCTCGGAGCAATTAATTCATGTGATAAAGGAAATAAATGTGCGAATAGAATAAAAAATGAAAGCTAATAACACTCACCTGAAAGTAAAATTCAACTTGCTGAGAATGTTTCTCCGAGCAGGTGAGACTCTCGGAGTTGCAGCAGCCTGTGTCATGAGAACAACGATAAAGAATTACACAGTGGGGTTTATAAGAGACGGAAGTATCCCTATATACGTCCCGTACCGAAATGACCCGAGATTTTGGCCGTTGACAGCTGCCTTCAGCCGCGACACGGTCAGCGTGACGTCGAGCCGCCAAGGCCTCAGGAGCTGCAAAAAAAGCAATTTTATCAGAATACTTTGTTTCTCAGAAAATGGGGCAATTTTCGTTATTTCATCGATGTAAAATTTTCTAAAATTCAACAAATTCGAAGCTTTTTCGTTTGAAAATGGTATTTCAAAAAATCCTTGCAGCACGTACATTTTCCGCTGCAGCACGCTAAGCTGATAGTGTGAATCGAATAATCAAGTATAATATTAAGAGCGTATGGTCTCTCTCTTTCCTTTGAGGGCTCGAGAAGAAATGATATAATACTCGCAGGTGGAGGTCACGCGCCTTTGATAGAGGTTGTTTAAATATGTACGGGGATCGATGCTCGCAAATGACTGATTGCACACCCGGAGTAATTGTACTCGTGTAGACCACCAGAGGCGGATCGGCCCCCAAACGATTCACTGCAGTTTCCTGAAGTAAAATTATTGCTCGGATATTCTACCGGTCGGCCGTTATGTATCCTCCCCACTTTTAAACGAATAAACGAGCGACACACGATATGGTGAGCTAAATGGTATATTCATTTAAAATATCAAAGATCCATATGCGTATAATAGAACTTACTCTTAGAGAAGGCAGATCTGAAATGCGACATGTTGTTTCTTGTTCGCTGTAGGTTTTCTCGCGAGCCGAGATGCTGCCACTTGAGTACGCTGTGCGACGACATTGCTGGGTAGTCATTTTTTCCCAACTTGTATTCATTGTACTGCGAACTGGGCTGTACAGCTCTCTCGCCGTTTTGGTGACTGAAATTATTCATCGATTCAGTTTTTCGCTTCGTAGTCGCCGTCGTCGACGTCGTCGTCGTCGTCGTCGTCGCTTCCGTCGTAGCAGTTGAGTTGGCTGAATTCACGTTACTAGTACTTGAACGAGTGATAGCACTACTAGCAGTTACCGGAATTTCTTCCTCCTCTACGTTTTCGTCATCTACGTATTCCTGTTGGTGCACATTTTTTATTTTATTTTTTTGTATTTTACGATTTAGAATAGAATATTTAAATACCAATTGCTGTAATAATATTTCATGGATTATATTATCTAAAAAATTTTCTTTGACTACTGTCAATGGTTTTCTTAAATATTTGCAAAAATTTATTTGTGAAAATATCTTTCACCATTTCCTGCTCACCGTTCAATTATTCTACTTTTTAAAATAATTTTCACGACATGATACTATAGGTTCTGATAACTTATAGCAATAGATTAGCTACCAGAATGACTTCCAGAGTCTCATGGTTGAAGGTCACGGTTGGTCAATGGTCGTAAGTCATTGCTCATTAAAAAAATTAGAGAATAATCGATTGAAATCTAAAGAAACTTGACTTTTTTATAGGGAACTTGTTTGCTATTTAATACAGAAAAAGCTTAGAAGGTTTAGGTAATCTTTATTAGTTTTGGCTTGCTCGCGGCAATCTTTTCCAGGATTACAGTACACAAATTATCAAATTAAATGTGAATTCTTGATCTTTTTTTTAAGTACGTACAAGTTATCGAGGCAGTTATTGAGATCAATACATCAAACAAAAAAACTGAATTTTATGTATTTATGTGGTATGACGTATTTATAAGAAACTCGATTAAGATGAAGTTGACTTGAATTGTTAAAAAGTAAAAATTTATGTACGAATGCAAATTCACAATAAAATGCGATCCTTTACTCTCGCTATAAATCAAATGGGAGTAATTCCAATCCTGAATAGTGAGACAGAATTATTATTTACCATTTTTAGCCCAATAGATACTGAAATTACACTTCACCATTTGATGCATTATATAGGAACAATTTGATGTTTTAAACATTTCGTGGTGTCTGCAATAAATACATTTTGAAAGCTTTCATTTTATCCTTTTCTATTTTATCCTAAGATGAAATAATGAAAATTGAAAGTATTTGAAAAAATCAGAGTAAGTAAAAGATTTTCGATAATTTTTCATTTTTCAAGCATGTTTTTCAGCTATTGAAACATAATATATTTTGATTGTGATGAGTTCATTGTAAAATAAATGAATATTTTTTATGATTTTTTTTAAAATAAAGCTAAATAGAGAAACCACATTATCCGATTGTTTCTTGTTACTTTGTGCGGTTCCGCAAGAAGATAAATGATGGCGACTCATGAATATTTTTTATTTCTAACATGTCCTCGTAAAGTATTTTAAATTGTTAAATACGCAGAAAATGTGAAATTCATGTGCATGTGTGTTTGTACTTAAGCTTTCTACAATACACTGGCCCACATTTTATGCTTTTTACAGCTGAGAATGCATTATAGATAAAATTTTCCATGATTGATTAATATCATGTTTACAAGTTAACTTCATGTTTGCAACGAACCTTCCAAGATTAATCGATCGATTCAAAAATTAAACTTTCATCAAATTTGCATCGAAATGAAATATACAATACAGTACGTGAATAATCATAATGGACTCTCAAAATAAATCAAATGACATTCATTGTTGATCATAAACATTTTATTAAAATCTTATTATTTTTTGAAAATTCAGAATAATTTTTATAGAAAAATGCCCATTATGTTAAAATCATGCATTTGATATCAGTAAATACTCTCTTGATTACATTTGATATTTTCCACAAGTTTGAATGATGAAATAAATAGTTGTCCGAGAAAAAAGTAAATGATTTTAAAGTGGTAATGATTCTTTATATATTTAAAACATTCATAATTGGATGGACAAATCGGATATTTCGCAAATATTTGATAAGTTGTATTTCAACTTAGCTATACTATTTCATTCATTTAATAAAGTAATGTAAGTATAAAGAAACTATATTTGTGTGATTATTTTCAAGTGGCTAATACGGCTGTACAATAACATCTTTGCCACAGTCCCAAGCAACGAGTTTCTTGACTGGCTCAGATTTTTTTCAGAGAATTGCTTCTCTTGTGCGGGAGAATGAAGTTCCTGTCATTTATAAAGAACCAACATTTTATTTTTTATGACTCCATAATATTTTTAAAAGCAGTGTAAATAAATCAATAAAAATATTTCACGATATTCAAAATTTTTCAAAATTTTTAAAAATCGAAACCAGAATTGTGAAATAGAAATATTTTTAATTTAGAAACTTTCTGTAAACTGATAATGCTATCGCCTATCGACTGTAAGCCGATAATATAAAGACGCAATATTTTAATTAATATGAGTGAGAACTTTTCACAGAACAGAACCCCTAAATTCAAGTTTTATTTAATTTTTCGATTGACCGGAGAGAATAGAAATTTATTGAAAATTAATTTTAGATACACTTCCGAAAGCATACATTTAATTATTTTCTTTAGGTAATAAATAAATCTAACGAGGGTTGGTACGCCAAATGCGCAGCAAGCATAGAGACTATGGGCATAAAAGTTTATAAAATTTGAACGAAATAATGACCTTTATCCAATAATGATATTTTATGCTTGGACACGTAAATCTGAATATTTTTTACTCTCTTCAGTTACTTTATTCTTTCTTTCTTTTTGCTCACATTTGTATTATGGCGAGATCAATTTGTGCGATATCACCCGTTTAACATTTTCATTTCTTAGTTCTTATATACAGTAGGAAGTTTTTCATTTAAAATTTATAATTATTTGTTTAAGTTGAAAGGTATTTCTAACGCTGTAAATGCATGTACAGTTGCAGTATTGCTTCTTGTTCATAATTTTCACTTACGATTTTTTTATATTTTAATTTATATTTTAGTTTAATAGTAAATTTTTATTGTATTTTAGTGTGTTTAAGAGCGAGAGATTTTAAGTTAATCATTAAATGAGCTCTAAATATTATAAAATTACAATATTATTATCTATTGTTAACAAAAAGTTTATAAAATAGCTCTCTAGATATTTGAATAATAGAATAAAAAACAAAATATAGGAGGCTTGTAAAGAATTGAGGAAACATGAAAATATCTTGGTTGCGTTGCAAGTCGATTGCAACCGGATATTTGAATATATACATATAATATGGTTATCCAAGTGTTGTGTATATGGCAGCGACAGCGGCAGGCCACCCAAGTCGGGGTCTTAAAAGACTCGGTTGATCCGGGATGATGAATTTGCATTCCCCGAGATTGCTGTCCGCTGTTCGCGCCGCTCAACTTGTCACACTTTGTCTTTCCTTCAGGCGTCAAGCCTAACGAAGCGTCTGTCATGATTGACAATGAAGCACTCAAAAACTGCGAACTGTACGATTATTTTGATCTATCTAATAAAAGTTCGCTTTTTTAATTGTTTTTTATGCTTAATGGACGCGATTTTATCCTCGTATTGCATTACAGCAGCCAAGAATGTTTGCTTTCAAAAATAGTCAAAGTACTTACTGATATACACGTATTTGCTTGTGTTTATAAGCAACAGCAGAATGAAAACGGCTTGTTTTTGACTTGGCACTGAAACCATAAACAAGAAGGTGTGACTAGACGTTACAAGACTCGATGAAAGCTTTTTTTTAGAGACTCTGTAATTTATAATACGTGCACTTGTTTTATCTTTTTTCTGTCACAAACTTCTAAGAATATACGAGAAGAAAAAACCAAAATTCAAATTTCCAGTCTCATTTTCTGAAACTTTTACTTTTAAGCCACAAAGACCTTCATCTTGTTGTTCTGTAGCCCACCATAGAGCTTTTTAAAGAAATATATTCAGAAGAAGTTTCAGAAAACAAAACTAAAAATACAATTTTTGTGCTAATTCTTCCACCTCCTAAGTAGGTTCATATAGCTTACTGGATTTTTAGTAAAAATTGCATGAATGTGATGAAAGTTGAGGTTAAGGCGTTTCCGCAGAATAAGAAATATTTTTGCTAAAGTCGATGCCGCAGCTCGAATTTTTACTAATCGAACCCTGAAAATGCATGCTTGCATAACTTTGAACTTGGACCGATTTTCAAAAAACGGCTTTGTGAAGTCTTCCGTATTATTACTGAGAATAGCTGTACCAAATTTCATTCCGTTTTATTCAGTAGTTTTTCCAGAAAACAGGATCAAAATGACAGAAAACTAGAGAAATGGCAAGCTCAACGGGCGTTCTCAACGAAGGGTCGTTGGACTCACCGGCTCATTTGGAACAATTTTTGGATAACACTATTTTTTCAAAAATCCAAAAATTGCTCAAAAAATTCTGAAACAAATCAGGCTTGTTCTTCGATCAATTCTAAACCGTTTTCATTCTACAACTTTTTCTCGTAAAATTGATGGTTATCGAGTTAAAAATTGTCGAAATCATTTAATGACATACAAATCTCCGCAAGTCCTATTTATGATCGTCATATTGAATTTCATAATTTTAACTATTTTACAATAAAGTATACGTGTCATTGACCAAATCTATATGCGTGAGAGGCACAAGCGAACCTTCTTTCCGTGTCGAAATTGCAGTTAAACGAGATTTCATTCTCGAAATTTCATGTTTTTTTTTTTACGAAATTGTTTAAAACTTTTTATTACATAAATTTTTGAAAATTCTGTCCCCAGCTTCGAAAAGTACATTAAATTTTACGTAAGAAATGATATTTGAAAAGTTTTTTAAACCATTTTTAGTCGGTGTAATTCATCGCTATAAATGTTGTCCAAAAATGGTCATTTCAGACGTTAAAGGGTCAAGGAATAATTGGGACCAATTGGGACTTTTTAAAATTTTTCGTGGAATTATTTTTAAAAATGATCTTTCTCGACCACAGGTAGGATTTAGAAACATTTCTTAGCAAGCAAAACTTTTAGAAATTTATATTTTTGAATGACATCTGAACCTTATGATATCTGAACTATGAAATGTAAATTTATATTTCTAGAAACTAAAAGGCGTTTTACTGTACAATAAATAATCAATTTGATCTTAATTTCAATGTATACATATTAATGTACAAATATGCAAGTACGCATTTACATCATCGTGGCGAGCTCGAATGCAAGTGATAATTTGTAAG